CAACGGGGCTTGGTTCAAATCTAACCTTAAAAACCAACCAAAAATCGCAACAATGTGCTAGAAAAATTCGGTTAAATTTGGACCACGACCCCATGCGCCCAATTCGATTCACGTGTCAAAATAAATAGGAATCCATATGTACATATATATCGTCATCTGAAATGCAAAATAACGTAACATCATCGTCACTGAAATGCAACAAGTCGTAACTTATAAAAAATTCAAAATTCACTTTTTGATTGCTATGATAGATTTCATCAAATTACAACTCCCCAGATCGTTTTATGAAAAAAAAATTGTCACGACTTTTTCCATTTCAGTGGCGATGTTGTTGCGTCTTTTGCATTTCAGGTGACGATATGTATGTCGCTCCCCAGATCAAGATATTTTATTTCTGTGTGGCATGTAACCGCTAGCGCAAAGCCACAAAAACGCTAATTAAATAAGAAAGTTTAAACTCAATTTAAACGAAAAAAAAGAACTAAAAAAATTAAGCCTATTTTGATCACAAAAAAATTTAATTAAAAAATCGCCGAAAATTTATCGATAAATGAAATTTAAATAACACCGAAATATAAATAAAACTGTCGGAACTGTTCCACTATTCGATTTCAAATAAATTTCTCAAATGTGGTTTAACCACAGTATACAGTAAACCCGGATAGACAAAACAAAGAATGTAAATATGCTTATTTAACAATTTGTTTGAATGTATTCGTTGATATTTTTTCACACTTGTCTTTTTCGTTAACCCAAATGAAATCCAATTTCAATACCTTCTTATAGTGAAAAATATTTTCACAGTTGCAGTTCCTATGTCATGCTGTGTTCCGAACACAACTTTGAGTGAATAATGGGTGGCTGTCTTTGGAAAATGGTCCCATCGAGTAGGGGGTAAAACATGTATTACTTAGCTTAAAGTTAGAGCTCTGCCATTTTCAAATATACCACTCTTAGAGTGGAGACCTCCATAGCTTTTATGAAATGTGTACACAAAATTATATCTCTACGCTCGAGCAAATGCACGAAATGTTTATGCATTTGTTCAGCTGCCTATTCACATTTGAAAGAGGATAATGCATGAGTTAATGCAAATAAAGATGGTTTATGCAGATAAGCGATCCCGTTTATCAACACATATGTATACATACATACATATCAAAATATGCAGAATGTCGAGAGAAATTGGTTCGGCCGTCTCTGTTTGTAAACACGTTAACTCGAACAAAGTTTAGATCTTTCAACGAAAGTCGCTGCCGACTTTGCCTTTGGTATAATTTTGGTCAGTATTAAATTTTGGCGAAATTTGTCAATAACCAGGCCCATCTCCCATGTAGTAATTAACTATATTTTTGTTTTATTATTATTATTTTTTACGAACTTTGCTGTTGAAATTTGCATTTCAAACATTTGTGGGTACTTTTGCATCAGTCGTTGCCTATGGGTTAATGACAAAAAAATGCTATACATGCACAATATTTCATGTATTAATTTTCAAATAAACGTATTGTCAATCGCTGGTTTACTGTATACTGTGGGTTTAACCAGCTAAATCAGAAAAGCCGCATATGATTTTTACTAGAAAAAAAAATCAGTAGGAAAGTAAAACGAGTATGCACTTACTTATATGCTTCTCGGTTGCATGTTCGTATGTCACACAAAAGCGTATCACATATTTGCCATTAACCATCGACGGTATCATATGCATCTTCCCGGAGTGATTGATCTGGGCGAGCAGCTCCTGATTGTATGTGTCGGCGGCGCGCATGCGGAAGCACACCAATCCCAGGTACACATCGTTGCGCACTTCGAAGCGCTCATCCTTGCGCACGAGCATTTCGAATTTCTTCGCCAATGCCATGTGATTGCGTATGTACGCCTGTAGTCCCATAATGCCGTAAGAGCGGAAGACAAACCACAATTTCAATGCACGAAAACGACGACTCAGCGGTATGCCATAGTGTCGATAGTCTATCGCCTTCTCATGCTCATGCTGCAGATATAGTGGATTAACATTTAGCGCCGTTTTCAAGCTCATCACATCCTTCACCCACATGGCGGACGCATCAAAATTGGTGAGCAACAATTTATTAGGATTCGTATTGAAGGAGTCAGCATACTCCAGGCCCTCGGAGAATTTACGCATTTCTGGTAAAATGAAGGAATTGCCCGCATATGCGCCGTCCACATGGAACCACACATTCGGCAATTCTCTGCAAACCTTGCCAATTTCTGTGAGATTATCGAATGCACAAGCGCCTGTCGTGCCAACGGTGGCCACAACAAAGAACGGCGTCAGGCCAGCATTTGCATCATTTTGCATTGCCTGTCGCAGCAAATCGACGCGCATGCGTCCACGTTCATCAGCCTCGATAATGCGCAGCTTAACAAGCGCCATTTTTGCAGCCTTCTCTACGGAGGAATGTGCTTCCTTGCTGGCGTACGCAATCAATTGTGGCAGGAAGACGCTCTCGTGAATCTCTGAGCACATGCCTTTCAGCTTTTGTATGGCGCGTGAACGGGCAGTGATCATGCAGACAAGCGTGCATTCGGAGGCGGAACCTTGGAGTGCGCCACCGCCGCGACTGCCGGGTAGATCGCTGATGAAGCCCTTGGGTAAGCCAAGCGCCTTCGCATACCAGTCGAGTACTATGGTTTCTAGTTCTGTGGAGGCGGGGCAGGAGGCCTGTTTTTGGAATCGTAAAAAGAAGTGGGAATATTAGCATATTTCATTTCATTTGATTAAATTAAATTACTCCTGAATTTTACAACTTACCCATGAAAAACCGATTGAGCCAATCGCTGCGCTCAGCATATCACCCAAAATGGAGGGGAACGAATTGCCTGCGGGAAAGTATGCAAAAAATTTCGGATGATTCCAATGCACTACGCCAGGCATAACCTTTTCCTCGAAGTCAGCTAGAACATCTTCGAATTTTTCTGGTTTTAGTGGCGCTTTGGCTGTGAACGAGATATGTATGAAGAAACGGGCAGAGTTAGAGGAGTGCAGAAGGCAAAAAATTAAACACATGTCGATAAATAAATAAACAATTTGCATAATTAAATATTTAATACGATTGTTGGCATTGAGAGAAGCTGGAGATATGCCATTGCAGTGATTGAGATGTGCGTGCGGTACATCGACACACACACACACACACACACACAAACATACTTATTTATTTGTATGCAAATATGCGCGAAGAAAATGTTTACGCCCACAAATTAAGTGTGCGCCCGGCATGTTTCTAGTTAGTACAAGTATCTTTAATATTTCAATTAACACTTTCGTGTTTTTTTCTTGTTCACAGATACACGCATACATATGTACATTAGGGTGCATCATCAAAAAAAAAAACATGCAGGTTTTCCGCCTGAATTATAAAATTTATTATGTTTTAAGACTTCCGCCAAAAGATTTCGGAAATATACCTCCAAAACCTTTTAGGCCCAAACTCGTCCATCTTCTGAGTTTATTTTTTAACCGACTTCCAAAAAAGGAGGAGGTTATCAGTTCGTCGGAATATTTTTTTTTTTTTTTTTATGTATGTTACCGCATATCTTTGGACCACGTCAACCGATTTCGATAATTCTTTTTGCATCGGAAAGGTAGTGTCTCAGAGGTGGTCCCATACTAATCTGGTTCAGTGGATCATGAGATATATATATATATATATTTTTTTTTTATATGGGAGTTGAAGTCGGTTTTTGTTTTGCTAAAAATTACTTGTTAGAAAATATATTTTTGAAAACTAATTTTATTTATAAAAACTCGATTTTTGAAGGTATTTCCTGCTCAGCTAAATCTTAATATTGTTCAGAAATATTCTGGTGGAAGTCTTAAAATATAATAAGTTTTATAATTCCGATGGAAACACAGTGCCTATTATTTTTTGTAAGGAGAGTGATGCACCCTATTGTACATACTTACATGTACTACATATGTATGCATGCGCGCATATGAACTTATTTAGTACCACACGGCGTATGATGAGCTAATTGGGCGCTAGTATATTAACAAATTGGCAGATACCGAATAGAGATGTTTCTTTATATTCGGCAGATCTACAGTGTATGTAGTATTTATATTTATCTAACAAAAACAAGCCCATGACTGCTGTTAAATACATTAATAAAATTTGCATGCGCGCATGAATGAAGTATGAGTACATATCTACATATGTATGTACGTAAGTGAGCGTGTACGTAGGCACACACACGCTGCCGTAAATATAGATAGGGACTCAACATTTTAGCAAGTTTTGGCTACTTTTATTTAGTTTATTAAATGTTTTTTTTTTTTATTTTTAACCGATTTTAACATTTTTATGTATGTGCATATGTTCTTGGATAACTTTGGACCACGTAAAAGAAGGTTGATACCTCAAGGGCGGTCCCATACTAATCTGATTTAGTTCCGATCATTGGATCATGATCATCAAAATTTCAAAATTTTTGTTCGGGAATTAAAAAACAAAACGTTTAGGTTTGCGCATAAAATTTTATTAAAGTAAGTGCAAGTTTGAAGTGGCTGCAAAATACCGTTGGTTTTTGTATTTTTATTTTTTTTGTTGACGGTGTTATGCATTTTTTTCATACAAAGAATACCGAATTTTTCTTTGTGGCATATGGAGAAAATGAGCAAGACCTTCAAAAAAAAAAAACTGCCAAAAATTAACTGTAAGTTCAAGCTACAAACTTACACTTTATTATACTATAAAAGCTCGAAATTTTTCAAATATACTTTTGTACGAAATTCGGCTTTTTATTTTATAACTAGCTATACTTTCATAAAAAATAATAAACAGTAAATAAACAAAAGAAAAATAGCCAAAACTTGCTAAAATGTCGGCGCGTCCCTATTTATATTTTCGCCACTATATGAATATTTTGTACATAAATTTTCCTTTGCTGGCAGTAGGATTAAGAATGTCATTCCTTTCATTGGCCGCGCCGTTAATAATAATTTAATAAGTGGTGTTTATTGTTGTTTGTTGCAGTTATTTGTTGCCCGCTAATTGGATATTTATTTGCGACCACTTACTCATTTTTCTATTTATCTACTGATGTGCGCATACTTTTCGACTAACTGTTGACTTTTGTGGCGTGCGGCTCATGCATGACAACGGAGAGCAGTGTTAAATTCAAAGAAGTTCAATTGTGGTTTGTAGTTGTTGTTTTAGTTTACCAAAAAAAAAAAAAAAAAAACTGCGTTAGCATGTAAGTTTTGCTTGTCCTAAAAAATAAAACCCACACAATTTTGTCGCCCCCACATTTATGAATGCGCTTTTATATTAATAATTATTTGTTGGTATACTTTCTAAAATCTTACTACTTCGAATATTTTCTCTTTTCATGAAATTTGTAAATTTATTTTAAATTCAGTTTTGCACTCAAATGGTCGCTGAAAAGTAGTCTTGCAGTTTTTTGCTTATAGCTTTCTGTTGTAAGTTTTAACTGCTGTTAATTGAAATGCATAAGTGAAGCTCGTGGGGTCGATGGGATTTTCCCAGCTTATCACCATCAAAAAGTTCTCTAATATAAATATACGTCTTGCGCAAAAGGATTGACGTTGCAACAACCTGCCGGTAACAAGCGTCCTTTAGTCTAGAACTTCTACCCTAGACCAGGAAAGGATGCCCCCAATGCTGTCAATACGGATTGAATGTCAACCCTAACAAGGCTAACATAGTTCCTTTCTCTAAGGCTAAACCCTTCTCTAAAAATTTAAATATCTGGGTGTCAAGCTCAAATCGTACTCGCACCTGAATAAAGCTATTCAAAAGGCCAGATCTCCATTTGGAGCTGCGAAACTAAAGCGAAAAACTTGTGCGACGGACCTAAATTGGCTAGCTGGATGGACGAAACCATTTTTAACAAATATTTTAATTTACATCCCGTCTGGTGGAGGAAAACAGACACGAAGTCCAAACTCCGACGACTTGCCTGCTTGGATATTACAAATGCAATGAGAGCAGCACCGACCGCGGCTCCCTGCTTTGAGCACTCATCGCATCCAGAAGCAGGGTATACCCCCAAGAGTACCAGTACAAAGCGGAATTAAGGGTATTAAAGTGGCAGGCATTCATAGACCCAGGACTCATCACTGGTCTGCTATGGACCTCCGTTGGGTAAAATTTCTATATTTGGGTGAAAAAGGAAGCGCAATCTTACTGGGCAAATATAGATGGTAACAGACTGGCTAAATCCACCATCCTGGAAAAATGTATCAACAAGGAAAACTAAAGTACTCCTTTACCTTAATGGGCACATTTTAAGAATGATTAAAGACTTGTCAAACCTTCGTATTGTTTGCTCCGACCAGTGCAGTTTGTGTGTCATGAGGAACAGGATACAGCAATGCTCATTATATGCAAGGTTGAAATACCACTATGACAAATCAGAAAACGGAAGACCTCGTAGGTAGGCCAAGAAAAGATATCATCAGGTTAACATTTATGATTAGAGACATTGGCCCTTTAGTGAACATGCAGCAAAAATGGTTGTCCCGTACAACCCAAGGAGGGAGAAGCCGTAGCTGTAAGGAAACGACGAAAGTAAGGAAACAGTCTCACATTATGTATTATGTTTGCAAGTGCCCAGCACTGACAGATAAAATTCATGAGGCAATATTATGAAAATTTCTAAGTGCTTCATTACTAACCTAGGTAGATTTATCAATTGGTTTGAAGGTATCAATCAAAACGCGACATCAGATAATACATATTTGGTATAAGAGGTTCCAGTAAAAGGGTCTAAAAATTGCGCTTACAGCGCTCATTGTGATATTGGTCAATGCCTAGGCCACTCTACTACCAATCAACCTTACAATATCGCAATTTGTCTATTTTCGGAAGCCAGTTACATATTAGAAGTTTAAAATTTCCATTTTTTTTTTTTTTAAATTCTTCCACGAGGAATTGAACAGGCTTCGTTTCAGTCTAAAGGCCGATCAATTTTGAAGAAAGTGGTGAAACTAAAGGAAATATTTTGGCCGCTTCTTTTATCAAACCTCACGAAAATTGTTTTGTTTTTTTTATTCACTTGAATAGCCGCGTTTGACGCAAACAAGTGCTAAGATTGAACCAACAAAAGTAGTGATGGGTACTCCTTAATGCCAATGTTTGGCAGACCCTGTTCTGTTCTTGCCACTTTTTTTCTCGGGCAGAAAAGGCTGGCATTCATCAAACTTCGCAAGATTTGCAAAACAACTTTATTTTAATTTTTTTTATCAAGTGGTTTAACGGCAAAAATAATTTTTTTTACTTATTTTCAATTCAATTGGTGGCCATATTAAGTAAGAAATTAAATATATATAAATTACAATCGCAAACTTTCTTGAAAGCGGCTGAACAATTACACTTTTTTCCACCTTGGCCCTTGTTACCGCGATTTTGTGAAAACGATATCACTGGTTACAATGCTAAGTAATCTTACTTCATAGATTTTTTTTTATTTTTTGTAATTAACTTAATTTAATTTATCAGGTACTTAATTAATTTTTTTCTTTAAATTACGTTAATTTTATATGAAAATTGACAGAATATAAAAACTCATTTTCCATTTACATTGCTGGTGAAACCGGTATTAATAAATTTTTTTTTAAATTTCATTTTAATTTAATTTTTGGTACTGCATTTCACTTTAAAATTTTTTTTCTTTAATTTAATTGCTTATGTTTCTGTTAATTTTTTACCTTACATTTTTTATTTTTTTTTATTTTTTACATCGCCATATTCATCAATTTAAGTAGCATAGTCACCTAACGTTTTATCAACCGCAATGGCATTTAAAACTACAGTTCTATCAAGTCATTGCCATCTGATTTTGCTAATTAATACGCTATACACGTATATACATACATATCTTTTTTTGTTTTTTACCTGGTATCAGTAATTTTAGATATCCTGGATCCAAAGTTGGCGCCACATCGCGCTGTTCAATTTTTTGCGCATAATCACAAATGTAATCCACCATATCCTTGCCGTATTTTCGAAACTCTTCAGCATTCATATTTATTTGTGTGTTTTTGTTTTGTTTTGGTGTTTAATTAATTAACTACTTCTTATTGAACTATTAATACTTTTGAAAAAACCTTGTAAGTTCTTTGATTTTTGGTTTATTTATTTATTTTTTTTTGGTTTTGTACTAAATTCGCTGGCACTTTTATTTTCACCTCAAATGTCACTTTAATAAAATTCCTTTACTTGATTTGATGCACTTTATTTCACTTTTTCATCACAGCGCGATAATTTCTTTATTTGATCTTTACTATGTTTGATGCCCACTAGTTATCGGCGCGATTTTTTTATTTTTATTTCTATGAGTAAGTTTTACTTTGAAGAGTGGTCCGAACAGATTCTTACCACTTCCTTTTCACGAATGACTTAACCTTTGTTCAATTGATCGTCTTTATATTGGCAAGCATATGAACGAATACGTTCGATTGGTGGAGATCGTTGCTTCGTAGATGTGGGCTCGATCAGTTCGCTCGATTGCGCGATCGCTTTCTGCTCTACGCTTTGCATATTTGCGGGATTGTGTTTGTGCTACAGGTACTGTTTATACATACATATACATCCATAGGTACTCTTGGCATGGCTAACAATATTTGATTGCCTCTAAAGCGATCGATCGTCACCTCCTCGTCGACGCAGCCATTTAAGCGGGGGCAGCATGAGCGCGTGATCATTGATCATTAGGGCTGCCACACGATCGCCGCAAAAGCGAAGGCACATGCTAGCGTGTGGAACGTCGCGAACACTCTATATTAGTGCCGGTAACACACAACGTCATTGCTACCGAAGAACGAGTAAATACATACATACATACATACATACTATGTGGCTATTAGCTGCTCAAGTAGCTGGTTTAGATAGTATCTCCCTCCATTCATTCCCTATTTAGTTGTTCACGCTTGTGTCTGTTGGCGCGATCATTTGTATAATCAATCATTTAATTGAGATTTGGAATCCCCACGATGAATATGTATGTATGTATGTATGAGAACACATGCAAATAAGTATAGTCTCAGGCAGTGGTATCCAATCGAGTTCGCACCGAGGGCTACTTTGAAACTATTGATATGCTTTGCTGCGGGCACCGCCTAAATTAACTTCAATCTTAATTGATCCCTATAAAAAACTTTATTTATTAATAAAATTTATACAGCTAGCTATAATAAAGGAATTCACATTAATAAAGAACATTCGTTGCATTGTGACAACAACAATTTGCTCTTAATTGATAAAGCAGGGTTTCCATTATGATTCATAAATCGATTTTTTGTAAAAAGATAACATAACACTGGTTCCATAGAGATCATTTCGTCACTTGAAATTCAAAAATGTGTAACTAATATTAGGGCGTCTAAAATACAGGTCACGAGCTACTAGGCGCCCGCGAACTACCGATTGGACAGCACTGGTCTCCGGCTTTCCGTACGTAAAATTGCCTCCCGCCGTAAAGGCGATGTCAGATAAAACTTTTGCTTCGCGTTGCGTGACAGATTCGCTTTGACAGATAAGATGAAATGTATGAAAATGCAGAAAGCATGTCACACAGATTGTTTCAGCTGCAGCGCGAAGCGAAAAGATGGCCAACTCCCATCTTTTTGCGCGCGTTAACAATCAGCCGGTTTAATATTTATTTTGTTTCGCCGAAATTCGAGTTTTCGTGCAGAAACATAGAAATTAATTACATTGCTGATATTTGTAAAGCTAAATAAAGAAAATCCACAGCAATTTTGACGAGTAAAAAAGCAGTACAAAATTGTTTTCTTGGCGTTCATTATGGCATACCTTTTGCGTCTGGCGCTTTGCAGGCAAAGTTATAAATGTCACGCAAAGCCACACAGTTTTATCTGGCATCAGCTTAAGAATTGTAGCTACATGTGTGTTACATATACATATATTTAACAATTAGAAAGATTTATGTAAAAACCTTAATTGTGAATGAAGAAACCAGGAATGTACAAAAATGGAGTCTTTTGTATGTAGTTGGATATGATTTTTCGCACAGAGTGGAAATTTAATTTTCTTTTGTGTGTATGTGGATATACATATACATACATACATACATAAGTATGTCGCGGAAACAAATTCATTGCACAAATGAAAAGTTATTAAAATGTTCATGACGTTTTCAAATGTA